CCTTGGTGTGATTTACCACCTCTACTCAGCCTTTCTAGCTGGCTGCTTCGCCTCCTTTGGGCTGGGCAGATCTGCCGAGTGGCAGAGTTGCCACTGATGATGTGCCTCCTTCACCGGGGCTGCTTGGTGGGGAGAGATGAGTCCCACCCTGCCCTGTAAGGCAGCAGTTCCAGAGCACTTTCAGGGCGTTGGCCGACTGACACAGCTCCTTCAGATGGAGCCCCCCCAAGGCTGTGGTTCCTTCCCTGGACTGAAGTCAGCCTTCTGTCTTGCAGCCCCACTGCTGCACCTCTGTTCCAAGCTGAGAGTTGTAGACCAATTCCCCACTCGGCTGGCGTTCCCGGAAGGTGCAGCTCAGCTGTGGTGCCATGGAAACGGCATGACGCTTCAGGGGTAGTGGAGCTTCCCTCCATGTGAATGGCCGAGTCAACAGGGCGCTGCCAAAACCGGTGCCCGGTTCATCCAGCCTTGGGACAGGCACTGCTTTCTACCCCACCACCTGCTATGATTTGGGAAGCCCAGCCGGGCACCCCATATAGGATCTGGTTGTGGACGTGGAAACACCGCTTCCTCCCCAGCTTCCTACTGGACCTGGTACAAAGCATCCCTCTCGTGCAGCAGACACCATCTCGCCAATGCTGTGAGCCACTGTGGTCCGGTGCGTGTGTGGAACACACTCCACGCACAGGTGAAGATGAGAAGATGACCAGTGACAATCTGATCTCCAACCACAAGCCAAAACTGACAGTGGGACAGAGTTAGTAGATCCAGTGGTCCGCATTACATTCCTCCCCCCCTCCACCTCCGCTTGCCAGTTCGACACCCAGCCCAGTGATGACAGCGGGCCCAGAGCCGCAACATTTTCCAACTGAGGGCTGGTACGTGTCTACAGCCAGAAACTTCCACCCCCCCCCTACAAAGGGGGGCAAGCATATGGTAGTCAATAGGTTTCCAGCTGTAGCTGCCCCATCCCCTGCCTCACTTCACCTCACCCTGTGGGACAAGCCTGATCTGGCCCTCAATCAAATTGAGTTTGACACCCCTGATCTAAAGATATGGAATATAAAAAGAATAACATCTGTGGAAAAATGTGGTGAACAGGCTTCCTTCTTTCATAGTATCGCCATAGGAGCAACTGAATACATGTATGGGTTTTGGGAAACACCCAGGATATATTTTTTAATTCCAGAGGTATTACTTATTCAGTTATTGCCCCTGTCACTGCTCCAAAACTTTCACAACCTAGGCTTGGTCACAAGCTGTTTTATTTAGGCAGAATCAACATGAGTCTGGGATCAGTCTCCAGGCTTTGTGAAGACCTGGTTTATGCAAGCAAAGCAAGAGAAAATGTGTGTATATTCATTTTATGTTGAAAATACTGACCTTCTTTAAACCTATAGCAAGGTATTTAAGCTTTTTTCTCTCTCATATATTGTATGTGCACAAGTTTGGTTGCAAGTGAAAATCTCTCCCAAATATTTGTATGTACAGGCAGAGGCATAGAATCAAAATCTCGTGAAGTATTAGTCCCACTTTATAAAGCTTTAGTAAGTCCACACCTGGAATACTGCAACTAATTTTTAGTTAGTTAATTTTTTTTGTAATGCATCACATTACAAAAATGGTGTTGAGACTTTGGAAAAAATTTGGAGAACAACAACTAAGGTGATCAAAGACCTGGGGACTAAAACATATGGAGGATTTGGGTATGACTAGTCAACCTAGATTTCAATCTAGAAATAAGAAAGTTTCTGACAATGAGAGCAATTAACCAATGGAACAGCTTGCCTTCAGAAGTTGTGGGAGCTTCATCACTGGAAGCTTTCAAGAACAGACTGGACTACCACCTGTCAGAAATGATGTAGGGTCTCCTACTTGGTGGGGGGGAGCTGTTGACTAGATGACATACACAGTCCCTTCCAACTTTGTTTATCTGAGCTAGTGAAATGAAGGACTTGGGAAGACATGATAGCAATATTCCAATATTTGAGGGCCTGCAACAAAGAGGAGGGGGTTGATTTACTTTCCAAAGCACCAGAGGCAAGTTAGGAAAAAAATGGATGGAAACTCATCAAGGAGAAAAGCAACCTGGAATGAAGGAGAAACTTCCAAACAGTGAGAACAATTAACCAGTGAAACACCTTCTCTTCAGAAATCATGGGCGCTTCATGACTGGAAGGTTTTTAAGAAGAGACGGAACAATCACTTGTCTGAAATGGTATACGCTGGGTCTCTTGCTTCAGCAGGGGGCTAATCTAGAAGACTTCCAAGGTCTCTTACTGCTCTGTTCTGTTGTATTCTCCCAACTGAAACGGACTTTAAAAATGGTTTTATTGATCCAACAGTGTACCATATGAGCTATATTTAAAAAAAACAAATATTGCTTGATTGAAAATATTCATTGTTCAGTTTCTCAGATTAATTAGTTCAGTATTTTCTATTTCTCAAGATTTTCAAATGTCACTTTAGTGCCTCTATTTCATTTTGTGATATCAAGCTGATTAGAAATATCAATCAGACTTCACATATGTTAAGGTTTGTAGCGGTTTAATTTTGGAAAAAACTTATTAATGATTGTGACTTTGTTCTTTTTATCTTAATACTAGTTTTAAAAAAAAGATATTTCCTGATTTTTTAACCCTTTCTCAATTTGAAAAGTTAATAAATTATTGGAAACACTTCTTGTGCAATGTAAATGATGCCCTACATTATATATGTTGAATAAAAAAGCTAAATGAAAGAGATGAATATGTGGAACTTATGTGGGAGGGGGAAGAGTGGAATAAAATGTTAGAAAGTGCTAGAAAGGGGTGGAATGCATTGACATCTGACTCAGTTTCACATTGCACAATGGTACCTTGAAAACCATGGAATGAGAAAAGCATTAGCAAGCTAGATTTATCTATGAAAGAAGCAAACAATTGAAATGTGGGAACAATCCTTGATTATAAAATCCTGGAATTTTGGTTAAAATTTTCCTAATTATGTAATTTTACACCTGTGGACATAATCCATGCAACATTGAAAGTGCTTCAGCTAACATTACCTTCTTCCTTTGCACCAGAGGACTCAAAGGGGAACCAGAAAATTTCAACCTTTTGCCTTTCTACAACTTGGAAGGTATTCTAGGCCTTTAAGGATTTGCATTTGGAGTCAGAGTGGGGAGGTTGAAGCACCGTCTATATTCATCTTCCCATTTAATATCATTAAAAATAATGCATTAATAGAATAAGTCCAATATATTCCTTAATGTCCAGACAGCAATTCCACTCTTTCCTCTTTGAAAATGAAGCCCTGAAATAAACATCACCATTATTCTGAAGGGTCTTTGGGGGCAAGTGGAGGCCGAGGGCTTGAAGGGGATCTTCTAAGTCATTCGCCTCAGTGATGGGGTGACTTGAAAGCTTCCCCTGGGGGATTCGCACCAGTGAGCAAGAGAGAGGGGCTCCTGAGGGGGACCCCGGGGGGGGGGGCGAAGAGAGCCCCTGAGGGAGAAGAGGGGACCAGAAGGAGGCGCAATTCAGTGACTGACCCAGAGACAGGAGGAGTCCAGTCCGTCCCTTGACGACACCTAAGACTCCCACCCTCAGATGGTGACGCTTCCCTCAGAGTCGCTTCTGTCTCTCCGCTCTTCCCGCCAGAATAGGCTCCTCCCACTCCTCTCGGAACCCCTTTTCCCGCTTCTTCTGAGGGAATCGCACTGGGAGGAACGCGGCCAAGAGGAAAGGGGAGGAGTCACGTAAGCTCCCGCATCGCTTACGTCTCACCTGGGGGGGGGGGTCCATGTCCCGTTCTCCCTCCGCCCCCACCAGCAGCAACAGGCGGAGCCCATGGAGGAGCGGAGAAGTGAAATTGGAAGGGGTTGGGGAGGGGGGAGGCCTTGACAGGGATACTTCGGCGTTGGCTTCCAAGGAATGGGTTGCGCCAATGGGAAGCCTCCATTCGTATGAGTCATCTGTCTCCGGGCAGAATCTCCCTGCCGAGAAACCCTTTGAAGAAGAAACGGAGAAGGGGGGAGAGGCCACGTAGATTGTGCGCAGCGCAACGGGGGAGGGGGAATCTTTCCGTGCTCAACTGGGGGTGTGGGGTCCCAAAGAGACGCAGGTGGCCCCTGAGCGAAGCTATGTCTGAGGGTGGCAACGACTGCGGAGATACGGAAAGCCCAGGCTACCAGGGGAGCCCGTTTCCCTGACCTCCTGGGAAGTTGGACGTCAGGTGATGATGTTTTAAAGGTTTGTCTCTGTCTTCTAGGGGAGGGGCTGTCCTTTTCCCCTCCCCACTTTTGCTCACGGTCCTTAATTGCACAGTTGTTAAGAATTCCATACAGTGTTTGCTTCTTTCCTGTGAAAATCGACCCAAAGCCACGTAGGACTCTGTCGGGGTGGGGTGGGGTGGGGGCTTCTCCTTTGGCTTTGCTCCCTTTGCTGGGGGGCAGCCAGAAAAGAGATTCGCTCAGAGTTTCTTGGGTCCCGTGGACCTTCGTTGGGTCTCCGGGGAAGAGAAGGGACCTCCTGTGGCTTCAGCTTCCACAAGGGAAAATCACTTTTCCTTCCTGGGAACCCTTTCACTTTTCCCGGGTCTGTTTTTAAGCTTTGATGGTGTGCGTCTTTCTCTCCGCTCCCTCCTACTCTCGCTTTGAGTGTGTGTGAGAAAGAGAGAGAGAGAAAGAGACGGAGAGTGAGAGAGTCGATGGGCTCCGACAGAATCCCCTCCGAGTGCATTTCTGCCAGTCGCCTTTTGCACCAGGACCTGGGGAGGCCCACGATCTCCACCTGGCTTCTCCCAGATGCCGCTTGCAGAGCTCGCTCTCCAGAGCAGGTGCGGCTCCGGATAGAGAGGCTGCCCTGCATAACCTCCAAAGCCGCCCTCACCTCCGCGATTCACCGCAGGGACCACTAGGGGGCGATCTCTTGGCTGCCGACTGACTGCCATTGCGCATGCTCCACTATGTGGCCTGTACTCCGTGGGAAGTGGGAATCTGGCGGAGGCGGGTCCGACGTTCTGAATCTTAGAGGGATCGAGAAATCCGCCCCATAGTTACTCTTGACTTTGCATGGGGGAAGATCCAAGAATGGGGCAGGGGAGAGGAGAGAAATAAGCTTAAAGGAACCACCTGCTCACATCTCTTTCAGATTCCGGTTCCGGGACTGCAAGGATATTTGGAGAGGCAGCAGAGCCATCGCGGAGGCCAGTGGCTGGAAGATCCCTTCTGAGCCTGGCAGGAGAGAAGAAGCAGGAAGGGCCCCAGGTCAGAGAAGCGTCTTTACGATACGGAGGGATCTTGACAGGCTTGAATTCTTCAATTTCTCCCTGATGGAGTTTTGGAGATAAATAATGCCAGTAGATATTTTGGGGAACCTCATTAGCAAAATTGTTCTTGCTTCCCTCCAAAGAGTTTCTCATTCTCCCATTGGTCTCAGCCATCGTCACTGATGGAGACGGGTTTTGTGTGCAGAAAATAACATCCAGGTCCACTTTTGTCCTGTCCTCTTAACTGCTCTTCTTTGCTTATATTTCAGGTTCTGAGGTCCTTCCATGGATGGGGAGTAATTAGGTGGATCGCACAAATCTTTCTCCTGATCTGTCTTTCAGAGGGATCCCCAAGGATAGAAGTCAAGTTCAGGATACTTCACTAGGTAAGGGAAGACTGTTCCACTGGGTTGGAGGTTTTCTAGAAAGATTCTAGCTATCCTTAATTCTCTGTGTCTTCTTGTGTCTTAGTCATTGGATTTGGTATAATGTGACCTAATAAAGATAGAACTCCCTCTTCAAATTAGAAGACTTAAGGCACAGAAAGGAATTCTCTCCCTTCAGAGCAAGCTTATTGTTTGCCTTTCACAGAAAACCAACTTTTCTAGGGACCACTTTGATAATAGTCATAGGGTACAATAAGTAATCAAATCATACTATGAAACAGGCAATATATGTAGTAGGGATGCAAGTGACAAAGTCACAGTCATTCAGTCACAAGTGGGAGAGGATGGGTGATAAAGAGTGATGAGAAGATTAATAGTTATATTTCAGGTTGTGAAATATCCAGGGATAGATAGATAGGTAGATAGATAGATAGAAAAAGATAGAAAGAAAGAAGGAAAGAAGGCAAGAAAGAGAAAGAAAGAAAGAAAAAGAAAAAGAAAAAAAGAAAGAAAAGAAAAATACTTTATTGGCCAGGTGTGATTGGACACACAAGGAATTTCTCTTGGTGCAAATGCTCTCAGTGTACATAAAACAAAAGATACATTTATCAAGAATCATAAGGTACAACACTTAATAATAGTGATAGGGTACAATAAGCAAATCATACTAGAAAACAGTCAATATAAATCATAAAGATACAAGCGACAGTTACAGTAATAGTCACAAGTGGGAGGTGATGGATGATAAGGAGTGATGAGATTAATAGTAATAATGCAGACTTTGTTAGACAGTGTTGAGGGAATTATTTGTTTAACAGAGTGATGGTGTTCTGGAAAAAACTGTCCTTTTGTCTAGTTGTTCTTGCGTGCAGTGCTCTATAGTATCATTTTGAGGGTAGGAGTTGAAACAGTTTATGTCCGTGATATGTGGGGTCTGTAAACATTTTCGCAACCCTCTTTTTGACTAGTGCATTATACAGGTCCTTGCTTGAAGGCAGGTTAGTAGTAATTTTTTTCTGCAGTCTTAATTACTCTCAGAATTTACAGTGATTGAGGAAATGCTGTGGTTGCCAAGAGTAAAAAAATCCATGTGTTTTTCCAAAAGATTAGGAGAACAATCTTAACTGAGGTTTGTTCTTCAGAATGTGGTGGGGTTGGTCTTCTCATTTCATTGTTGGCTCCCATGATGGAGCCTATGAAAGGCAATGTGTAGAAGAGGCAAAAATGGAGGTTTCCTGGCTAGGATAGGAAGAAATTCTTAATTTGTTCCTTCAAGCTAGAATATATGAAGTTGAACCCTCTCCTCTTTCTATCCTGTCTCTCTCCTTCCCAGCGGACAAAATGGAGTCGACGTTTTTCATTGAATCATCTCCTTCTATTGGTGAGGCTGAAAGAGCTGCTGGATTCCTGACTCAGGTAGGAAGGAAGAGATTATCAGCTTATATGGGGGAACAGTAACAGACCTCTAGTTTCCTTTGGGGACTCAGCATATGATACTGCTATTCCTGGGCAAAATACAACAAGGAAATTAGAGATTTAAATGTGTCAGTCAAACCTGGCCCACCTCTCAACAAAGATTTGGAGATCTGTGGAATTCCTTAGTGATTGTATGATTAAATTAAAGCAAAAAGGAGATGAATAGTCCAGCTAAATCTACTTTATTGCAAGCATCATCTTGTTTTCCTATCGTTGGTAAAAACAACGATAAAAACAGGAGAAGTAGAAATTGCTTTCTGTATCTTGATGCGTGGAAGTGCTTTCCTAGTGTTTTCATGAATGTTCATGAGTGGGTTTTTTTTCAATTTAACTTTTTTATTGATTGAAGTATAAAACACAAAGAAGAAAAATAAGAGAGGAAGGGGAAAAGAGGGGATATAGTGTAATGGGTGTGGGGGCGGAGGCATCAACTTCCAACTCTCTTTGGTACAAAGGTAATAACATTCCGACCACAATGTTTTGCTTTTACAAAACAGTATGTACAAATTATTTCTATAACAATAAGCCTGTTTAGTTTACAAAAACAGAATCAAAAATTCATTTTTTTTTCTCATTGTACACAAAAAATCCGGAAGCAATTTCAAGCTAGAGACAAAACTAAATATAATCTCTTTTATTTGGATAAAATAATCATTTTCACCATCTCAGCTTCTTGCTATGGGGAATAATATATTATTCATTCATAGGAGTTTCCTCATGTTTCCAGTACTAGGTAAATACAATTCTTGCTGGTGTCAAGACATGTAATATTAAATATACATTCCCTTTGTCATACTTTTCAGGTATTATTCCTAGCAAAAATATTTCTGGCTTAAACTCATGTGTTGGTTTAAGTCCAAACATGTATGTAGTTTTGTCCAATATTTTTTCGCTTATACACATGTCTACCACATATGATAATACGTCCCTGGTGTCTGGTTACATTTCCAACATTGGTCAGACATGCTTTTAATCTTCTTTGCTAATCTTGCTGGTGGTAGATGCCACTTATAAAACATTTCATATAATTTTTCCTTATATGTAGATGCCATTGTCAACTTAAAATTTTTTCCCCAAAGTTTTTGCCATTTGTCTAAATCTATAGTACAGCCAAAGTTTTTTGCCCATACTATCTGTGATGACCCAGGGTGTGGCACAAAGGGGAAACACAGGCAGATAATAAGTAGGAATCCCTTTATTAGCTTCAACGTTTGCCCCCAAGTCCTGGTTATCTTCTGGTCTGGTGAAAAATTCTCCCAGGAACAGCCTTTGACTGCAGAGATTCAAGTCCAAAACGTTGTCAACAGAAATCTTTAATTATAAATTCAATCAAGGGAAGATGAGGTAATTAATCCAGCAGGGCAATATAAGGAGTTCCAGAAGGGAAATAGCACGGCGGTAAATCAACCCAGTTGGGAGGATGCCAGGAACGCAGATAACCACAGTCAATACAAGATAAACTAAAGTTTGTTCCTGAAAATGCAGCTCTTAGCTGCCTCTCCTTTAAACTCTCCCCAGGTATGCCTAGTGAAGGGAATCAGGACCCTTTCCTCCCACGCACCTCATGTTGCTCTCTTCTCCATTCTTCCCTGCGTGCCCTATGATGAAGAGGGCCTGGATCTTCATCTGAACTCCCTCTCCCTTTTTCTACCTTTGCCCTGCTCTGCCCAGCCCGACTGCCTTCTCCACAATTTCCTCCACAGCCAATGGAGCCACATACCGCTCCCTGTCAGCTCTTCGTCTTCTCAGATTCAGATTCCGACTGGGGCATGACACTATCATTGTTCATCTTCCATTTTTAAGCTTAACAAGAAATTGTATATTTTCTTTATCAACTTTTCATCTACTCCTAACATTATTTGGTCAAATATTGTAGGCTCTTTATAGAAGCCATAATCCTTAACATCTTTCTCATATGTCGATTTTATTTGCATATGCAGCCACCATGATAAATCCATACCTTAATTCTGTAACTCTTGTTTGTTTAAATTTCCCTTCCACATTTAAAGTATCTTTATATGTTCTAGTATTACTTTATTAAAGTATTCACAGTACACTGCGAATTCTGTCCTTTGTATCGTATAATGTGTCAGGGCTCCAACAGATGCATCCCCATTCAAATCATAAGTCTCTAGCCGCATCTCTCAGAATAAAAAAAATGATTAGAAGTGGTCATGTTGGCGTTAGCTGGATGCAACCAACACTAAAATACATCATTCATTTCCCCCTTGACCCTGGTCTTCCCACCACCCCCTGGATGTATATTCTCCAATGGGGCACATCCATAGCCAAGAGTAATCAATCATGCTCTCCAGTAATATTCTTTTGGGCTGCCCAAGCAATTATCAGAGGCATTTGAGGAATGCACTGTTTTTCCCACTCCCTTTCTGCTGGCAGCTAAAAAGGCCAAAGGAGTATCTTTTTAGTTGACATTCAGTTCCCCTCACTTCTTGAAGGTAACCTGTACAACACAAAAAGAAAACAAATTTATTGCAGGTATAGAACTTAGGGTTGCAAACCCTCCCCAGGTTTGGTGGGTTTTCTGCATGGAACCTCGTCACAAGGCGATCGGCTTGGACATTCTTACTCTTTACCCAAGATGCTTTTGATAAGCAGTAGCCTTTCCATTTGATTAAATATTGGAGTTGTCCCCCATGCCACCTCGAATCAATGATTCACTGTAACTCATACTGGGTTTGGCCTCCTATGACCACGGGATCTGGGGGTTCACAAGGTGGGTCGATTCCACCACGGGTTTTTAGAGGCTACTATGGATTACAGGGTTAGGGTTAGTTAGATAAACCCTAACCGTGACCTTTACTATGGGGACATAATGTGTTATATAATTAGGACTGCAGAAAAAACAATCACTACCAACCTGCCTTCAATTGACAACTTGTAACCTGCACAAGTCAAAAAGAGGGCTGTGAAAATATTTATAGTTCCCTCACATCCTGGACATAAACTGTTTCAACTCCTACCCTCAAAATGACGCTATAGAGCACAACAAACAACGAGACACAAGGACAGTTTTTTCCCAAATGCCATCACTCTGCTAAACAAATAATTCCCTCAACACCGTCCAACTATTTACCAAGTCTGCATTACTATTAATCTTCTCATCACTCCTTATCACCCATCCCCTCCCACTTATGACCGTATGACTGTAACTTTTTCGCTTGTATCCTTACAATTTCTATTGACTGTTTCCTAGTATGATTTGATTGCTTATTGTACCCTATGACTATTATTAAGTATTGTGCCTGATGTTCTTGACACTTGACAAATGTATCTTTTATGTACACTCAGAGCATTTGCACCAAGACAAATTTCTTGTGTGTCCAATGAAACTTAGTCAATAAAGAATTCTATTCTATTCTGTTGAGTCCACCTAGGGAAATGTCCAATTAAAGATTTTTACTTTGGCTTTTAGTCCCAAAGATGCTTTTTTTCAAGAGGCAGCTAGACTTTCTGGTTGTTGAAGAAACT